CATCAAGAATAAGGTTGAGAACTTCCACATTGGCTGCATTGAAAATTTCAATACGTTGAAAATTTGAAGCAAACGGCTTAGTGAAATAACATAATCTTAGAACTGTTTGGTGGCGTTTTTTCTAATCATAGTAGCTGAATTTTGATCTTAGAATTTAGGTATATTGTATAAGTTAGATATAGGAATTCTTTCAACTCACAAATAGAAACTCGTTCAAAATAATTTGCATCACCATAATTTTTAAGACAAGCACAAGATCTGAATACTTGATAGCATCTCAAATCACACCCAAAAAAACAACTAAAATCTGATATAATATCTAGATGAGAACTAAGAGAGATTAGTATATAGTGTGATGTGTTAACCTTGGCTCATTCGAGGCTGGAGCAGTGAAGTAGGCTGCATCGCCGACTGTGCGCATGAATCTGATGATGAGCAGCAGAGCAGGGAAAGTAGAGGCAGACGGACGGCGGCGGCGGTGCCTAATCCCAGGTTTTTTTAGGGATACCTAATCCCAGATACACGCTAATCAGTAATCATAGGAGAACGTGGCTCCCAGGAGACTAGAGCGGAAGGCTAACTGGCCAACGATCCGGACGGTAGTGCTTTTACATGGGCTTTTTTTTTCTTCTCCAAAATACACGTTGAGATAGGGGGGGCGAGTAGGTGTGCACTGGCCGTGCGACAGCTGGCGGCTGGGCGTGGAGGCGTATAACGTGCGGGACTGGAAGACGGTCCCCGCCAACTGCGAGGGATACGTGGGCCACTACATGCTCAGCAGCCACTACCGCCGCGACTCCAAGGTCGTCATCGACCAGGCCATCACCTACCTTGACAGCCTCAGGCTCGCCGGCAATGGCAAGGAGGTGTGGGTCTTCGACATCGACGAGACCATGCTCTCCAACCTACCTTACTACGCCAGGCACGGCTTCGGGTACGTACATGCACATTGTTAGAAGGGAGAGAAGGATTTGATCGAATTGTCATTGTATTGCTTGAGCCTCGTGGGCATATATATATAGGAGTACATGGTTAACTTGGAGTACAAGACAAGCCGGAACATATCCTAATCTATCTCATATTTCCTAACTAAACATAATACTCAACATCCCCCCGCAGTCACGACAGTAGCGACGCAGACAGGTGAGACTGGAGAAGAATCTGAGGGCAAGCCGACGGACACCCTCCCACAGTCGTAACGGTTGACGCGTCGCGGAAGACGTGGGTGGAGTGGAAACCAACGAGGTTGCTCAAGCAAGGCGGTAGCCCTTTGTACCATTTGTCGAGGTAGCCGAGAGCGTAGAGTGGTGTAGCTGTGGTCGAGGTAGCCGAGTGCGAGGGACACCGTGGTCGATGTCGAGTCGGGGTGGCCGGTGTCGAGGTAGTCACCGTGGACCGGAAAGAAGAGCGTGGTGGCGGCCTGAGGAGGCGGTGGCTAGGTCAGAAGCGCGCCGACAGTGCTCGAAGTAGGCGAGGAAGAACCTGATACCGTGACGAAAACCGGCGCGGATGGTGGCGTTCCCGCGCATAGAAAGTCAGCGCCACGCATACCACGTAGAAGTCGATGCGCGGGGACGACGAAGTGGACCACGCGCCGCGACGCTACGGCCCGAAGGGGCGACGCAGCAGCAGCGCGTGAGTCAGGACGACGACGGGGAAGATCTCAAGGCGGTTGCAGGGACCGCATGCCACGCTCGCTACAACCCGACGGGACAACACAGCGGCAGCGTGAGAGTCGGTGCAGCCTTGGGAATGATCTCGGGGCAGCGATTGACCGCGGGCCGTGGCAGTACGGCCCAAAAAAACTACACAGCGGCAGCGCGCGGATCGATGCAGCCGGGGGAAAACCATGGGGCGGCGACGTAGCAGTCCGATGGGACGACGCAGCTGCAACCGTTCGCTCGATCGGTAATATGTGCGGGCACTCGATGACGATCTGCATCCTGTGAAGACAAAGATCGAAGACGCAAACCATCGACGAGGTATCCGCGACGTGAGTCACGCGGCTCATACGTGGCAGCCTGGCAGGAGCACGAACAGGCAAGGACGCATCGTACAGGCCGCAGGCATGCAAGCGGCACGCGCAAGCAGCCGGGCCTGAGCACAACACATATAGATTGAATCCTGTTTGTGACGTCCAAAACGTCCTCATCCAGGATATTGCATCGATGCATGCAACTAGCTATGCACGTGAGCATGTCACAGATGCTAGCCTGGACGCGGACGGAGACGAAGAGTCCGGCCAACCGACTCGTGGTCGCACAAATCGCGGAGGCGTGCGGGACGACGAGATGGTAGCCGGTGTAGTCTCAGCAAAGGATGAAGTAGAGGCGCGCGTAGATGTCGACGGGGCAGGCAACGCAGATCGATCTATAAATTGGAAAACCAAAAAGAACATCGATCAAGTGATCGGCAGAGAGAAAATCCCCAATTAACAGATGGGAAAAAAGACTCTCTAAGGCAGCCGGCCAACACGATCGGCGGACGAACCCTAGGTACCGGCGGCACGGCCCTCGGCGGTGGTCATGGAGGCCGACCACCCCGAGGGCGGCGCAGAGCGGAAGCGGCGAGCGACGGCTAGGGTTTGGATCGGTTAGGCTGATACCATGTTAGAAGGGAGAGAGGGATTTGGTGGAATTGTCGTTGTATTGCTTGAGCCTTGTGGGCATATATACAGTATATAGGAGTACATGATCAACATGGAGTACAAGACAAGCTGGAATATATCCTAGTCTATCTCATATTTCCTAACTAAACATAATACTCAACACACATTATATATGCTATTTCTTGCAGGTGTATTTGAGCAGGGGCCTGCGCTGATCTTTCAGTTTAGCTGAAGTTAAAAATTCTATATGTACCTTGTTGAAATTAACCCACTAGAAAACACCAGTAGGGGCCTGCGCTGATCTAGATTAGTAGTACCATATGACGTGAAAATTCACATTGCGTGTGATACAACGACCGATGTCTAAGGAACAACATAAAGATGGTTGAATTTCTTCAGTATGCATATCTACTAGCTGACATCTCATTAACCCATGGGCATGTAATAATATATACACATCAACTCATCCGCAGGGCTAGGCCATACAACGCGACGAGCTACAACGCGTACGTGTTCTAGGGGAGCGCGCCTGCGCTACCGGAGACAAAGCGGCTGTACTACTAGCTGCTCGCAGTGGGCATCAAGCCGGTGTTCCTAACAGGCCGGACCGAGGACCAGAGGGCCATCACAGTTGCCAACCTCCGCCGCCAGGGCATCTCTGCATGGATGAACCTGCTGCTCAAGCAACCAGGGTTCAAGGGCTCCGCAGTGACCTACAAATCCGGCGAGAGGCAACAGCTGCAGGACGCTGGGTATGTCATCGTGGGAAACATCGGCGACCAGTGGAGCGACATCCTTGGCGCGCCTGAGGGCGCTCGCACCTTCAAGTTGCCCGACCCCATGTACTACATCGGCTAGGCCTCCAGCCATTGATTTCTCGTGGTCGATGAACAATAAGCTCCATCCTCTGAATAACTATGTGCATGTCCCATGCATGATCCCCTCTATCTCTATGGTTGTTGCCTAGTTAATTTCCTCGGTGAACACACGGAAGAGAGGCCCCCCGCGTCGCCCCCACTCGGGCGACTCGGGCGGGATCTAAAACCCTAGCCGCCGGGGGTCTCCATCCGTCCTCCCCTCCCTCCGCCGCCGCCGAAGGACGCCGCCGGCTATAGTCCGGGGCTGATGGCGGTGGCGGGGGTCTTCCCTCTTGCCTGCGCCATGCGGGCGGTGCGGAGCCCCGCGGCGTGGGTGGCACGGCCGATCTGGCCTGGCGGCGCGGCGGGCCTGCCTTCCGGCGGCGGCGCGACGGCTGCCTCGGCCAAGGGCGGCGATGGTGGGGTGCGGTAGCCGGCCCTGCCTCGGGCTGCGTGGCGGCGTTCGGCGGCGGCGGCTGGGTCTGCGGCGACACAACATCTGACCTCGAATTGGCGGTGGTGGCATGGAGGGCCTGGTGGTTGGGTCGGCACCATGCGGGTTGTGCCCTCTGGACAGATCTGATCTGGCCGGTGCGGCCTGCTCCATGTGCGGCGGCTCAGATCGGTGGCGACCCGTGCACACAGTACGTGATGAAGGTTCTTCAAGCGGATCCGGGTGAAAACCTTGTGCTCGGCTTGATGCCAAGACCGGCGTTGGTGGCACCCTGTGGTGTCATTACCTTCTTGAAGGCATCGCCGTGGAGAAGCTCTAGATCCCTATCCGCTACCTCTGGGGGAAACCCTATATCAGTTGATCGGATGACGGCGGCGCGTTGGTGTCGTTTCCTCCTTGGGGCGTCATTCTTGGAGGCGTACACGGGTTCGAGGGACCAACGGGCGCCTTTTTTGGTGGAGCGGCACTTCATCCTTCACATTGATGACGGCGGATCTCGGCGGCGTGGTGCAGTGGAGACTCGGCGCCCGATGCGCGGTGATGGACTCGCGCAGGTGGAGGTAGTTGTCTGGCGTCAAGGTGGCGTCGATGACGGCGTGGCCTGACAAGGTAGAAGCCTCAATATCTGCTCTGAAGACGGACCTGTGGAAGATGGCGGCGACGACACATGTGAGTGCGTCAGACCAGTTTATGCCCCAGACCCGGTATGTGGCTCGGCTAGGGCTTCTGGCTTTTGATGATAAGCTTATGTGAGTAGACCGGGTATTTGGCCCAGGTAGCACCCCTTCATCATATGGATAGGAGTAGTGGCATATGTTGCCAAGATGGCAGATTCAAACATTTTGTTGTAATACTTTGTAAGGTCCTCGTGAATAATCAATAAAGTGGCCGTATGCATCTCCCAGATGCAGAGGACGGGGGCCATCCTCCTTTTCTAAAAAAAAGTTAGTTTCCTCAGTTGAGATCAGTTACTACTATCAATAAGACGTGTGCGGGAGTAGTTGCATGTTTCTCCATCAATGGCTCCATGGGCTGCTGCTTTTCTTTTCTTTTCTTTTTCTTTTTTGAGAAATACATGGGCTATTGTTGCTTGACGTGTGTGGTTGGTCTGTCATAATCATGCACAAAATTGCATGGCATATCAATCTTTTGACGGTTCATGCTTGAGCGGCCAACAACGATGGCAGATTAGCCATGGGCTCAAACTATCTAGGTCCACATTACCAGGATGCAGAGTGAAGCCCATGACTAGTATGTGAAGTATCAGTGACACGCATGGTAAAATACCCATCACCAATAAATTTGGGTGACTTCGTAAATCTTAAGATGATATGCCGCTCAGTCTCTCGGAGGTGCTCATAGAGGTAGGGTGTGCGTGTGTGCGTTCATAGGAATGAGTGTATGCGCGTGTATATGAGCGTTTGTGTCTGTACTGATGCTCAAAAAAAAAATTTGACCCATGTCTAATGTAGGCTAGTATTACGAGTGGCGGGCAACGCAGAGTCTTGCCCGCCACTAGTAAGTGGTTGGTTTACCATTGGCAGATGCGGTTTCCTGCCACTGATAATGTCATATTTAAAAGCAATTATGTAGTAGTGACCCAAAATACATGATGTCGTTGTTGCCAAGCTGAACTCTACGGAGCCGAGAAAAACTAAATGTGAGGACATAGGAGAATGAAAAGGAAATTTTCATTATAGATCTTTAGTTCAAAGACAACCATTAATGGTCCTAGAAAAAGGCCGTCATTAATGGCAAAGAACGGAATATCATGGCCTTGAAAAGGGGATAGAAATGACCGGGATTATGGCGATAATATCATAAGCTCAGTAAGCTGCACGACACCCTTTGACTATCAATATATTGTAGGGCCCACATGATTACACACTATCAAGATATTGAATACGCTATGAGGCCTCAAGTTCCGGAGGACTTTGAACAAGAGCATCATAAGTAATACTGTAAGCAGCAATCCATCTCCTCAAGAGGTTGCATTTCCTTCTCCCCAAGAAAAGTCTCCTTCCTCCAACTAACCACACATCCGCTGGCCTTTGGGCCGTGGAGGTGTGGAGGATCTCCCTCCTCCGCCCGGCCGGCGGGAGGTCCCCATTCTCGTTTTTGTTACGTTTAAGTTTAATGCCTAGGTTGGGGCTGTGTGGCGGTGGCGATGCCCCTCAATAGGAATATTGTCTCCCACGTCCTATCCCCGCCCCAATGGTATGAATAGCATCGTTGGAGGATGTGTGGGGGTGTGTCTCTGTTAGACCTGGCATGATTCGGTTGGTGCTGGTCTTTGATGGATCTATTTGGGTTTAGTTTTTGTCTGTCTTTATTCCTGTGGTTACAAGTTTGATCTTTCCGATCTACAACTCTCTTCATCGGTATGGTTTTTTTTGCTTCGCTGGCCCCTTGGGGCCTTAGCACGATGACTTCCTGACTGTCTACTAAAACAAGGTTTGTCTGGCTCCGGTGAGGGAGAGGCGATGATGGTTGGACGCCTCCAGCTTGCTCCAGTGTTTGTAGTCGTCGCTAGATGGTCCATGGACCTGATTATAATTTTTATTACCTCTAGTGTTCTCAGTACTGCCATAATTGATGAATAGATTAAAAATTTCTCTTGCAAAAAAAAACAAACAAACAACAATCCATAAAAAAACTAAAGATGTTGAAACGTCCGGCCAAGGAGGAGCGCTACGTCACCCTAGTTCCTCCGTCATCGGGTACGACGTCACCCTAGTTCATGCGTTTGTGTTAGGGAATGGCCAATGCATAGCCCCTGGGTGATGCCCCGTACGCCATGTAGGATCGGATGTTTGGAAAAGTAGGTTCGGATGGACCAGCGGGGTCCTTTGCAGGAGGCAGGTGCTTAGGGAGAAAATATGGTCTGCTGCATAAAGCTGAAAAAGTTGAAGTGAAGAGTAGGGATGCATGTGTAGTAAGAGCATCTCCAGCCGTTCGGCCCCCCAGGGCGCTAAAAAAGGGCGGTCTGGGGGCGCACCGGCGCTAGTTCGGCCCCTGGGGGCGACCTAGCTCCCAGTCACGCCCCCAGGCGCCGGCCCCGGTACGCGAAAAATTCGAACTTGGTCGTTTCCGCTCAAAAAAGGCGCTACAAGTCGGGCGATCGCAAGCCATAGTTCGACGTACAAAAAATAGAGCGGCAGAAGTTCGCGTGCGCATCACACGGCGGGCTCTGCCCCAGGCATCGGCGGAGTTGGCGTGCGCGGGCTTGGCGGTGTCGGAGCAGCCTCTGCGCTGGGCGGCGTCGGCGCGGCTTCGGTGGTGCTGGGCGTCGTGGAGGCGTCGTCACACGGGCTTGGTGGCGGCGTCGGCGTGTGGGTCGGTGTCGGCGTCGGCGTGTGCGTCGGCGTCGACGGCCTTGTCGAGGGAAGCTGGTTCAGGATGAGGCCACGCTCCGCCAAGTACCACGCCTTGACCGCCTTGTCGGTGCTCTGGAGCATGTCCGCCCCGCCCAGCAGGAAAGCCAGGTCGGTGTTTCTCTTCTTCGCGGCGACGTTCGTCCGGAGCAGGTCGAGCTTGACGGCGCTGCTCGACATCAACGCCGACCACCGCGTCTCGGTCTTCTCTTCACGAAGGACGGCCCGGGCCTGCGTGTCGGCGAGGCAGTGCTCGACGGACTCCTGCACTCGAGCGGTGGCCGCGTCGGCGTATTTCCCCTTCTTGGCAACTTTGTTGCCGTCCGACCGCCTTTCCGATGCGCCAGGAGTCGGAGCGTCCGGCTTGTAGGTCTCATTGGCCTTGTTGAGGGTGCGCCGGACTTTCGCCCATTTCTCACACTTGTCAATGCACTTGTATATGTCGAGGTACTTGAATTCGGCGTCGATGTTGCTCTGCCGGTACAGGGTGAACATGCGCAACAACTGCGCGGAGGGACAAACAGTTGACGCGCGTACACGGCGAAGAGAGGCGGGAGGCCGGCGTGGCATACCTGATCCTCGACGCTGGCGCCGCTTTCCGGGCGAGCCGCGACCTCCTCGACGACCCCATGCCATTTGTTGCACGCCCTGGATACGCCCCCAATGGTTCGCCATCGCCTTGGAGCCGCGCTGCATGTAGACGCCTTTGAAGTAGGGGTCGACGTGCTTGCGCTCGTCGAACTCGGCCTTGATGCGGTCCCAGTACGTGTCAACGCTCTGGTTCGTGCCGGTCGTCGGGTCGAGGCAGACGACTTTCCATGCTTCAGCGAGGCATTCCTCCTCCTTGGACGCCCACTTGATGCGCGGCTCGCCTGTCCTGGCCGCCCGCTTCTTCTTACGCCCCTTCGCCGTCGCAGGCGTCGGCTTCTCCTCCTCTTCCTCCTTGTCGTCGTCCTCCTCCTGCTCGTCCTCACCGTAGACGTAGCCGAGCTCGCTGTCCATGCCGCCGCTGAGATCCACCACCTCGTCATGGGTGGCAAACCCGGGAGATGCGGCGGCCGCGGCCGAACCTGTCACGATGATGTCGTCCATGTCGGCCTCGGTCTCGTCGGCGTCGCCCAGGTGCGAGAAGGGCCGCGGGCCATGGCGTAGCGGGGGCATCGGGGAGGAAGC